AAAAAACGGAAACGAGATTGAACGGATGATCGAACTACTCTCGGAACTCCTGGTAGCCCCCAAACCTAAACCCTAAACCCCTAAACCCCTAAACCCTAAACCCCTAAACCCTAAACCCTGTACCCGAAACCCTAAACCCTAACCACCCCTCCCCTCCCCCCCCGGGCAGACCCACGCGACCCCGAGAGGAGCCTCGGGCAGCTTCCCGAAGCAGAAGGCATCCAGGTGCTGGCAGGCGCCGTACCAGTCCCCGAAGACGTCCGTCTTGCCTTTAGGGCTTAGGGTCTCGGTGTGGGGCTGAAAAAAGCGGTCTTAAGAATTACCTATAATGTATTGGGGGTTCCTTGTTATGAATGTAATATAATAGACCCCAAAGCCCTATCCTAATTATTAAGGCCCCTACATTATAAGGTTTGGGGCTTGGGGCTATGGGGCTCTTCAGGGCTTTGGGAGTGTCGGAACAGGGCTTAAGGGGGTTTTGGGGCTTCTCTGATTCTCGGCCCTGAAAGGAAGGAGGATACACCCTAAACCCTAAACCCTAAACCCAAAACCCTAAACCCTAAACCCAAAACCCTAAACCCTAAACCCTAAACCTGGTACAGAGGGATCTGGGTGAGAACAACCCCCAATGAGAACCAGGCTCTAAACGGCTCCAATGCAGTCGCTTCCAAAGCCCATCTACCTGTAGTCTCCATTGTAGCTCCTTTTTTGGTTTAACCAAGTATATATTAACGATTTTATAAGGTATCCCCAAAAAGGAACGAGACTATAGGTAGGTCTGAACGGAAGCCGCCACCCGAAAGGTGGAAGCAAAGCTGAGCCGTGGACCCTCTGGCCACTCCGTATCCTTGACGTACCACCAGAACCTGAAGTACGTGAGGGTCACGTTAAAGAGTTTCGGAGTTTAGGGTTTAGGGGTTGAGGAGTTTAGGATGGTTTAGGGTATAGAATCTTGTAGTATTCGGAGAGTACAACCACCCCAGCTTTCTTGCGAGGGTGTTATAATGTGTTATACCTGTTGCTCCTGGTGTTGAGGATGCAACTACTGCTGCTACGTGATAATGGCCTTGGCTACAGATCTAGTGCTCTTGTCTGCAATGCTGTTTGGCGAAGTTCAATGCGTGTTCATAATCTTTTTGGCTTCGGGAGCGGGGCTGCAGCGACCAAGTTCATGAGATTTGGAGCTCAGGGGTTTAGGGTTTAGGGTTTAGGGGTTTAGGGTTTAGGGTTTATCTTAGGCCTTGAGAGCGGGCGTGCAGCGGCTCATGAATGGAAGGAAGATCACCTCACGCCCTTCGACAGAAGGCAAACACATATTTGGGTAGTTGTCAAAATTGGGGTCCCCTTTTGGGGCACCCTAAATAATAGGTGCCGTATTATAGTAAGGACCCAAAAAGGGACCATAATTCTGACAACCACCCATATGCCAGAATCTGCAGCCTGAAACCTGTACTTTTGGTGCCCAATGCTACTGAAAAAAAAACCAAAAACAAACTCCACAGCTGCAAATTCAAGATGCAGCTTTCTTTGCAACATCCGGGAGGCTTGTGGAAAAGCTTCCCGTCGATAACGATGGAGCCATACTTGTCGACCTCACGTTCCATGTCAGCTAAACTCTCAGTGCTCTGCTCTGTTCCTGCTGTAGCTAATGTAGGGGCCTGAGTAAATGGAATATGTTTTCGGGGCTCCTTATTGTAGTTGTGGTATCATATACCCCCAAACCCGATTCTAGCTATTAAGGCCCCCTGTAGCCACTCTCTTCGAAAATACCAACACCCCATAGAAGGAATCTGAGAACCCTCTTGTGAAGTCTTCGGGGATTACATCTGAACCCAGAATGCCGCAACACTCACTCCCAACCCCAAGAACCGCACTAAATTACGCCCGGGCGTCTGCCGGCGTAGTAGTGGTCGTTGTCGTCGACGTCGTTGTAGTTGTGCCTGAGCCATGGGACTCTGTAGAAAAACCCAGGCGTCGGAAACCCTGCACATGGGTGTAATGTTGGGGCCTTAGTAATCAGAATAGGGTTTTGGGCCTCCCTTATAGTATGATTAGAATAAGGAACCCTAAGGAATAACGTTGGTAATGGTTTGGGCTTCTATATTACTGCTTTGCTTGAGGTTTTGGCTTGCGGATGCTAGGGCATCTTCTACCGTTCAGCCTACACTCTTGACTCCCTCAACCATTCTTATCCTTACACCCATCCAGGCCATCCATCCTCCTCTCGACCCCGGCAGACCCAGAGAAGTTCCAGCTTGGGGAATGAGAGGTTTCATCTATGAGGGGTTCATTGGGCCTTGACGCCTCATGAGCACGTGTCGCGGAGCTTGATTTTTCAGTCGGCGCTGCAAGAAGGGAACCTGTTCCATTGGACTCACAACCGCCAAGGCTTCTAGTTGAGGCTCTTCCCGTGCTGAAATCAAACAGCGAGTCCTTATCCGCAGATCCACAGTTCGGGCCGCGCTGCTGGTGGTCGTGGTGCTCGTCGTAGTGGTCGTCGAGGTAGTTGTGGTCGACGTGGTCGTGGAGGTAGTCGTGGTGGATGTAGTGGTCGATGTGGTGGTGATAGTAGTCGTAGTGATGGTTGTCGTTGAGGTTGTGGTGGTCGATGTTGAAGTGCTGGTAGTGGTGGTGGTGGTCGACGTTGTGGTGCTGGTGGTTGTGGTGCTAGTGATGGTCGAAGTAGTCGTGATGGTCGTCGTGGTGATTGTGGTGGTTGAGGTGGTGGTGGTGCTCGTAGACGTGCTTGTAGTCGTTGTGGTGGTGGAAGTGCTGGTGGTGGTCGTGGTTGTCGACGTGATGGTGGTTGTAGATGTAGTGGTCGTCGAAGTTGTGGTCGTAGTACTGGTGATGGTTGTCGTCGTGATGGTTGAAGTAGAGGTGGAGGTGGTAGTTGTGGTCGTCGATGTGGTTGTGCTGGTAGTGGTCGTCGTCGTGCTTGTGCTAGTGCTGGTCGTGGTCGTGGTTGTGGAGGTTGTCGTGGTAGATGTGGTAGTTGAAGTGGTAGTGGTGGTGGTGACGGTAGACGTAGTGGTAATGGTGGTTGTTGTGATGGTAGTGGTCGAAGTGGTGGTTGAGGTGATGGTCGTGGTTGACGTGATGGTAGTGGTCGATGTGCTGGTGCTGGTGGTGGTCGTGGTAGTTGTGATTGTGCTTGTGGTTGTTGTCGTGGTGGTGATAGTGGTGGTTGTGGTAATCGTTGTAGTCGAAGTTGTTGTGGTGGTCGAGGTGGTTGTTGTAGTCGTCGTTGTAGTCGTACTGGTTGTGGTGATTGTCGTGGTCGTGGTCGTCGAAGTAGTGGTAGTTGTTTCTTCACAGCCGGTTAAGCCATACGCGATGCCCTGGGTTCCAGCAACACTCAAGACAGCACTGAAAGCCTCTCCGGCTCCTCCAGACTTAGTCTAATATAGGGGCCTTAATATTTTGAATAGGGTTTTGGGGCATGATCTACTATGACTCTATAATAAGGAGTCCCATAATATAGTATGGGTGTTAATTCAAGCCCCTATATTACAGATGCTAGTCTACAGATCTGGGTTGTCGTCTTGGGGCCCTTAACAGTACCTATAGTCTCCATTGGAGTTCCTTTTTTGGTTTTCACCAAATACATCTTAACGAGTTCATAAGGTATCCCAAAAAAGAAACTACAATGAAGACTATAGGTATTTATGCATATGTACCTCTAAAATAAGAACCATAAGGGAAACTTTACATTTTTCCAAAGTGCCAGCTAAAAATTGCAGGACTTTGCCACCTGGGGGCCCATGGGTAGTTATGAATGGGGCTCTAAGTAGGGTAGCTATACTTATGACTTATATCCCATATTGCGGGACTTCTCTAAATCTAGGCCCCCTTTTTAGGTGCTCCCAAGTATAGTACGGCACCCCTCTAAAAGGAACCCGGAAAGGGAAACCCTATAACCCTCAACCCTAGACCCTAAACCCTAAACAAAAACCAGGGGGCCGCAGTGACAGAATTTTAGAAGTCCCTGCTTGTCGTGGTATGCCTAATGTAAGGGGTTGAATCAATGGAGCCGGGTTGTGGGAGATATGTTATAGCGTAACTTTCTAGGGACTATCTCAGCAGATAGCATGTCTGGGTGTGTGTACATACTATTCAAACCCTAAACCCTAAACCCTAAACCCTAAACCCCTAAACCCTAAACCCTAAACCTTAACCGAATTCAAACCGCCGTGCTTTCAACCCGAAGCCCCTCCAACAACGACGCACAACCTTCCGGTGTAAATAATGAGCATAAAACCGACGTAACTTCCATCTGGAGCCCCTTACAACTCAAAAGAGCCAATACCCAAAAACACGTAGCCCCGACCTGAAGCTAAATATAGGGGCCGTAAGTTATTTACCAATACTATTTTTAGGGGGGTTCCTTATTGATAAGTATGGTAAATTATCTACCAATACTATTTTGGGAGGGTTCCTTATTCTATCTATGGTATAAAGGGCCCCAGCAATACTATTTTGGGGGGTTCCTTATTCTAATTATGGTATACTATACCCCAAACCCGAAAGCTGAGCTCTACAAAGCACTTTAAGCCTAAGGTAGAACCCATGGGCCCCTAGCATGGGCCCTTAACCCTGGGACCCTAACATACCTACTATATACCGTATATATACCCTTAAGGGACCCTAGAATCCCCTAAGGGCCCATGTTAGGGGCCCATGGGTTCAACCTTGGATTAAGCCTTTAAGCAAGCAGAGGGCCCCGAGCATCCGACGAAAGCAAGGCATGCTGTTAACGGGCGAGAGGAGAACACGGGTCAACAGGAGCTATTTGGGAGTTTCCCGAAATTAGGTACCTTATTTTGGGGTCCTTATAATAAGGATCCTATTATTTTGGGTACTATATTAGGGTCCCCTATTTTCGGAAACCCCCATTTGAATAAGTATCACTTCTAACCTGTTTGAAAAAGTATCACTTCTAATCCCTGTATTGGGTTTTAAGATATGAAAAATGAAAAAATGTAGCCGACACGGACCCAGAACAATCTAGGTAGAAGAACCCTCTCTGAAGACCAAGGAACGTCGCCCGCACAGACGGTCACCTGCACGACGCTTCTGAAGCACACGTGGCCATCTCTGTAGAACGGTTGGGGGCTTTGGGTTTCGGGTTTAAACTTAGCACTACCAAGTTGTGCAAAGCTTTGACGGTTGTCATCTCATGTGCGCACATACGAACCAGAGTTGCCGGAAGCTACTTGGAGGTTCATGGGTAGTTATAAGTGGGGTTATAAGTCCCCTAAGATGGGAGATAAGTATAGTTACCCTACTTCTACTTGGAGGATCATGGGACTTAGTAAATAAGGTTATAAGTCCCCTAATTGGGGTTTTAGGTATAGTTACCCTAATTATTACCCTACTTACCAAGTCCCATGATCCTTTAAGTAAGCCCATTTATAACTACCCATGAACCTCCAAGTACTCAAATCGAAGCACTCAGCGTTGGACCCCGATCCTCACGCGTCATCGCTCGGCATTAATACCAGTTGGCGATTTAGGGTTTAGGGTTTAGGGTTTAGGGATGTACACTCAGAAGCCCACACATTGCATGCCTCTGCCTGTGCCTCCAAGATGCAAACGGTTTCGGCGCATTGTCTCCAATATGGTATAAGGATGCGCGGAAAGCACACTATCACTGATCTCCGTGCCCCTTAACCCGACCTGCAACTCTCTTTACCTAGAGTTTAGCAGCCATGACCACTTAATTACAAGGTCGAACCCATAAAGCTGTAGGTAATTAGAGCCCCAGGTAAATCCTAAACCCTGCGCTTCTTGTGGGATGCTTTGCGCCTTCGGGGTGCCGATGTAGCCGTCGGCACATTCGGTGATCACTCCGAAGCTATGCACCGCAAGGGAGCCTGAGGATAGGGCTCACACACAAAGCACTACACTTAGCGTTTAGGGGTTTAGGCGTTTAGGGGTTTAGGGTTTAGGATTTACCTATAGTCTTCGTTGTAGTTCCTTTTTTTGGTTTAACCAAATATATATTGACGATTTATAAGGTATCCCCAAAAAGGAACTACAATGGAGACTATAGGAAAGCACTACACTCGTGTGTTGCACGGCTGTTGTGGGGTCGTAAGTAGGGTAACCATGCTTATAACCCATATTAAGGGACTTCTAACCCCACTGATAACTACCCATGAACTTCCAAGTAGTGCAGGTAGGCTCGGAATCGGCAACGGATGGATTCTCTAAACCCTAAACCCTAAACCCTAAACCCCTAATTGTGGACCCAGGGGCCTTTCAGAGACTTGGGTCTGAGTGGCCGGTGTAGGGATCGAACGACCCAATTTTGAGAGGGTTTAGGGTTCAGGGTTTAGGGCTTTAGGGCTTTAGGGCTTTAGGGTTTTAGAGTCTTAGGGTTTAGAGTTAATCTAGGGGCATGAATGAAGCCCTAAGTCCCTGGCGCCTGATCCTCAGGTCAGGCCGAGGGGCTCTCCTTCAAGGTGTAGCCCGTGGTGTCATCGGGCGTCAGGCACATGTCGGGGTCACACCCGGAGACATCATACCTTCGGTTTAGGGTTTCTTTAAAAAAAATGCAGTAGCCCTTTCTCCCGCGGCGAGTTCCAAAGAGCTCACTCAGTTCAAGTAAGGGCTGAGGGTTTTTGAGTTTAGGGTTTGGGGTTTAGGGTTTGGGGAGCGTGGTTTAGGGGTGTTTGAGGGCAGGCCTTGCCAGGATTTAGGGGGCTCTTTGCCACCCAGAGCAGTGATCCGAACTTCGAAACGATTTGCTTCGCACAGAGGCCTGCCGTGGCTTAAAATGCTGTGGGCTGCCGAAGCCTTGGAGCTACCTACCCAGAGGGTCCGAGTACCCAAATAGTAAGGTTTTGGGCCCCAAAATCCATACCCTGAATGGTTTTTGGACCTTGAAATCCTACTATTTGGGTACTTGGACCCTTAGGGCTATAGTCTCCATTGTAGTTCCTTTTTTTGGAAAAACCAAATATATATTGACGAGTTTATAAGGTATCCCCAAAAAGGAACTACAATGGAGACTATAGGTAGGATGATAAAGCATCCCCCCAATCTCTCTTTCGGTCCGGTCTTCCGGTTAAGGTAATGTAGGCCTTTACCTGCACCCGCATCCCTGAACTCTATAGACACTCGAAGCCTCCCGCACAACGGGATGATTGAGTCCAGGGGGATTCCTCTGACACCTACTTGGAGGATCATGGGACTTAGTCAATAAGGTTATAAGTCCCTTAATTGGGGTTATAAGTATAGATACCCTAATTATAACCCTACTTACCAAGTCCCATGATCCTTTAAGTAGGCGAGGACGGCAACCTCTGTGCGAGCTTGGTCCAGAGCTGGGGATACTCATCAGGCAGAACGCTCAGGCATTTAAGTAGATCAGCACTGCATACCTTGAGCTACTCCTTTCTGAGCCAAACAGGTTGTCCTGAGACGAACTGTTCTTGCAGGAAGCGCAACTGATGCGCCTCTCCCATCATGTCGTTTCATGTTAGATGTAGGCGGATTAGGGCTTAGCCCTGAGAGGTGTAAGGGCTTCAGGGTTCAGGACACCGGATGCCCTGAAACTTCGGAACCCTCTGAGAGCCCAGGTGATTTTCCTGCCGAGCGACTCCTGTCCATCGGCCACACAGGCCTTCCGATGCTCCGGCTTTGGGTTCTCTTCGGCGGAAGTCTAAATCAAGGTGCCCCCCCTCCGCTTGGTGACTTTTCAATTCTTTCCCAAACCCCCCAGGTACCTACTATCTAGGGTACTAGAGCCCCTAGGGCCCTATATGGTAGGTACCTGGAGGGAGGGTTTGTTGTGTTTAAGATGTCTGGCTGCCGTCTGCACTCCTTCCAGGATCCAGACTGAGTTAACCGTCTTCTCCCAGGGACCTACCCATAGGCCCCATAGTAGTTCCTTTTTTGGGGTTCATATTTAGAATCCTATAAGGTAGTCCCAAAAAGGAACCACTATGGGGCCTATGGGTAGGTTCCTCATGAAAACGGAGACAGTATGCTGCCACTGTCCTGTGCGAGCAGTACACGGTCAATAGCCAACATCAGGACGGCCGTCGTCAAGGCACGGCAGTAAGGAAGCTCGGCATGACCTTCGGCAGAACCTGCATATCAGCCTTTCCAGCTACTTCTAACCCGTACTAGCCTTCGCCCGCCGTCATCCTCAGCGTCATCATCCTCATCATTCTCACAATCTCACCGCCGCCATCATCAACTTCATCAGTGTCATTCCATAACCGTCACAGAGTCATAGAAAATGCAGCCTTCGCCTTCGTCCTACTCCTCCTCCTCCTTCTCATCATCATCATCATCATTATCATAATTCATCATCCTCATCCTCATCATCATCACCATCATCATCATCATCATTATCATCACCACCATCACCATCACCATCATCATCATCATCCTTATCATCATCACCATGATTATCACTATGATCTTATCCTTCCTCTTCCGCGGATTCCGCAGCAACAAGATGCGGACCGTAACCAATCGCCATCATCGCCGTCATCATCAGCAGCAAAAACATCAACAATGACAACACATCAGTATATACCTCGCAGCCATTTTGGCCTAGCGGTACCGTCATGGCATATGTTGCGTGCACGATGTGGTGGCTGTCCAACGATGGCGGCATGAAGCCCCAAACCCTAAAACCCCAAACCCTACACGCTGAAACCCTAAACCCTAAAAGGCTAAACCCTGCACCATCATCGCAAGCCTCCTCCAAGCTTCACCCACAAAACTCTGCAAAGCATGGAGATGCTCGGCGCCTTGGTCTCAGGCTTGCCGTGGAAGTCCTTCAAGCATTTCACCTCAGTTTATTTGGAGGGGGGGGGTCCTTATGACTTTAGGGTTTTTTTTCTTCGGAGGTAGACTTTAGGGTTTAGGGTTTAGGGTTTAGCCTTATGATAACTATAGTAAATTGGGCCCCAAAACCCTATTCGAACCAATGAGGCCCCTACGTTAACAACTCTGAAAAGCTTCTACTGGGTGCTTGTTAAAGGGATTTAAGTTGCCATAACAGGGTTTAGGGTTTAGGGTTTAGGGATCTATGGCAAATCATCGGGCTTCCTTGTCATGGCAAATTCAACTAAGCTAAACCTTTTAACGAGAACCCAGTCTAGACATGGTGAAACTTCAGCCGCTTGAACCCCGAGCTCCGAACCTGCACCCGAGACTTCAAGAGACTCTATAAGCCAGGAGGGCTTTGGGTTTAGGGTTTAGGGTTGGAGAGTGAGATCACTGTAATTTAGGGGCCTTAGGAATTGAAGTAGAATAGGGTTCTGGGGCCCATTGTGCTATATTTATAGTAAGGAACCCCACAACAATATAGGTAATCACCAGGGCCCCTATGGTAGGTCGTGCTGCAAGGATGGGTCGTAGATTGTCGCGGTGTTCTTCAAGTTCATTTTGGAACGTTGAAAAAGTGCATGCACCAGGGCCTTTCCGTGAGTCGTGTATGAAAGCTCCAAAGTTTCCAAGCTTTGCTTTGAGTCAGGGTTTAGGGTTTAGGGTTTAGGGTTTAGGGTTTAGGGTTTAGGGTTAAGGGAGTTTACGACCCAAACATTGAAGGCTCAGGCCCTTGAAACAGCATCCCTGTCCTTCACAAAACTCCTACACCCAAAGCCCTCGAACGCATGACGCCCTAAACCCTAAACCCTAAACTCTAAACCCTAAACCCGGTAATCTCTGAAAGAACAACCTGATCTTCCCGATGGTTTCGGGTCCGGGTGGCTCCGGTACAGGGTCAAAGCTTTACCACGTCTCCTTATGAAGTTACTAGCAAGAAATAAACCTTCTTCATCAAAGCTTTTGGGATGGCCATGCCTCACATGGCCATGCCTCACTGAGCTCTGAAGCCCTGAAACCTCGAAAACCATCGCACCTCCACATCGAAGTTGTGGATGTAGACGCTGTGCTCCGTCCTTGCTGCATCCCGTTCGCTCGCAGAGCTCCGTGTGTTGGGAGGAAAGTCTGGGGGTTAGTTAGAGTTTAATCTTTCGGGTTTTGGGGTGCTAAGACTTGAAGTTTAGGATCGGATAAGGATTTCGATGTTAGCGAACCCTAAACCCAAAGCCCCTAAGCCCTTTGGGTTTGGGGTTTAGGGCTTGGCATTGTCGAAGTCAGGATTTCGGAGCTGGACTAAGGGCTTAAGGGTTGTTGACCTTTGGGTTTAGTTTATATAGGGTTTAGCTTTTCTGTTTTGGGGTTGGCTGGTTGGCTACCAAGTCTCCCATGGATTTCGGCAAGGGAAGTCGGGGGTAAAGCCCAAAGGCAGACTCGCACTCCCTACCTAAATCGCTAGAAATCCTAAAACCCTCAAACCCTCTAAACCCTAAACCCTAAGCCTTAAACCAGACCTAAACCCTGCACCAAAAAAAAAACAAACAGCGAACGAGCCGATGTAAGCCGTGTTAGCGAGTTTAGGGTTTAGGGTTTAGGGTAGTAGCACTGCAAGCTACAGGCGAGCTACCGATGACCACGGAAGAGTAGCAAGAGCAGAACATCATGAAGCCATGGCAAAAACTCCACACCCGAAGCCCTAAGCACGAACACTAAACCAAGAACCCGAAACGCAAACCTAAAAATCAAACCCTAAGCCCATGACAAAGCTAGTGCAACTTTTGTAAACAGAAACCCTAAGCCCAAAGCAAAACTGTCTTGCAGCCCAAAAACAGCTTGTAGCCGAGGAGGCCCTTGGGCTTGTGGCAAGTCCTCAGCCCAGTACGCTTAAGGACTACTACAAGGGCTACTAGATTGCCAAAAAAAGGCTACTATAAGGGCTACTGGAAAAGGGCTTAGGTTTCAGGGTTTATAGGCCTACCTACAGTCTCCATCGTAGTTCCTTTTTGGGGATACCTTATAAAATCCTTATATGGAGACTCTAGGCCTAGGGATGGGTAAAATTGGGATTCAAATTTAGGGATGAGCATGTGGGCCTCGGGGCGGCGACGTCTTAAACTGGGGCTTTGAGCTGAGGGTGTGAGGGTTTAGGGTTTAGGGTTTAGGGTTTAGGTTTTATAGGGTTTAGCATAAACGGTGAGGTGTTGGAGAAGCGGGTTCATGTTTAGATTGGGGTTCCAGCCGGTTCAGGCGTCGTTGCTGCGGGCTTGCGGGTTTTTTGGGTCAAGAGCTCCCTTCGCAGATTTTTCGGGGCAGGTTGCAGGCTTATCTTTCCTGTCACTTGCAGAAGTACTGAAACCCTGAGACCCTGCAGCCCTGCAACCAAAGTTTCGCCTAAAAGCCTTGAGTTTAAAGCCCGAGCCCGAACCCCAAATCCCAAAAAACACCCTGAAGCCTTAGAACCCCTAGAACTCGACCCCTAGAACCTGTAGGTCCTGAAACTCGAATCTCGAAACCCCACGTAAACCCCAACAGGGCCTTTTGGGATGATTACGAGGTACCCCTGTAATCTCCAGGAATGCCTTCTGGTTGTCCTGATACTTCGCTGAGGGGATCGTTAAGCAAGAACAAGATGGGAGTTTCAGAACAGCAGGACCCTGACCCTCGCAGTATTAAAGGAAACTACGGGTGGGGAGTTTAGGGTATGTACGGATTCTATCAGGCTCCTATAATATAAGGTATATCGACCTTCTAGAAGGCTCCTATAACGGTAACTACCGACCTGAAAATGTCCTAGACAGTACAGATCCTGACCTGAGGAGTCCCTAAAGACAGGGAAAGTGTGGTCCGATAAACTCTTTCACCAAGCTTTTTACATACCGTAACCTTATACGGCCCTGTCAAACCTTCCCAAGCCGTTGAGTTTTTGCTCAAAAAAGAAATGCAGGGCCGAGGCACAGGACCTTGTGACAGCCCATCAGTGAGATGGGCTCATCGGCATGGCCACAGGCCTTTGAGTAAGGGCTTCTCTTGATGAGGGATTTAGCCGTTAGTCGGGCCATCTCATATACTGGCTGTTGCTTTAACGATCTCGGCCGCAACCCGAGTCGAAATCATTGGTCCGACCCTAAACCCTAAACCCTAAACCCTCGGGGTGGGCCCGCCTTCACGTCGGCGGTTCCATAGTAGCCGTCCGCACACTCGGCTGTAACGTCGAAGGCCAGCATCTGGCAAGGCGCGAGGCTCCAGGCAGGGTTTAGGGTTTAGGGTTTATAGGGCTTGTCTAAGAAAGCTGGAGAAAAGACTTGTGTTTAGGGTTTAGGGTTTTAGGGTTCAGGGTTCAGGGTTTAGGGTTTAGGGTTTATAGGGCTTGTCTAAGAAAGCTGGAGAAAAGACAGACTTGTTCATCAAAAAAGCAGCGCCGCATGTTCTGCCTGTGTAGGGTTCAGGTTTCGTGAATTCACTCCTAAACCCTAAACCCTAAACCCTTTTCACTAATTCTTGCATATCTGGGAAGTCTGGACTCGAGGTATCGACTGTGAGGCTTTAGGGGTTTTGCCCTCCAGGATGGCAGCTCGCGGTGTAAACAACAGAAGCAATGTGTGCCATAATATTTCATCCAATGCAGGGGCCTTAATAAGTAGAGCTTTGGGCCCATTCTCCCATAATTGTAAAGAGGACCCCCGCAAAATAGTATAGGCAATTATTTATGCCCCTACATTACATTAGTTTTATAGGGTTCTATAGAAGTTACTTGGAGGCACAAAGCCAACGACTCCTAGGCACTTAAACCCGACAGACACGAGATAGAAAGCCCCAGGGAGCCAAGCCTAAATGTACGGAAGCCCTAAGCCAGCCCTGTAAACCCCAGCATAGTACCCAAATGTTGTCGTATAATAACTACTTTCAAACGCAGAGGAATATTACCCTAAACCCTAAACCCTATGCGCAGAGGAATATTATTGGCAATTATTCCAGACCCGCCTCCAGGTTCGTCAAAGCCACGACGTAGCCTGTCGAGTCTTTCGCCTTCGCACAGTACTTCACCTGAGATTCTTGGAGGTTCATGGGCAGTCAGAAGTGGGCCCCCTGATATGGAGTTTATAGGTATAGTTGCCCTTCTTATAACCCCATTTATAACTACCAATGAACCCTAAACCCTAAACCTGTATAGTAACCCTTGTTGTATCCCTTTTAGTACCTATAGTCTCCATTGTAGTTCCTTTTTTTGGTTTAACCAAGTCTATATTAAGGATTCTATAAGGTATCCCCCAAAAGGAACTACAATGAAAACTATAGGTAACCCCATTCAGAAATGAACCCTAAACCCTAAACCCTGAACCCTAAAACCCTACCCCGGCAGTATCCCTGATAGTAACCCCACCCTAAACCCTAAACCCTAAACCCTAAAACCCTAAACCCTCAACCCCTAAACCCTAAACCCTAAACCCTAAACCCTAAACCCTAAACCCCACTTAGAGCTACGCATGAACCTCAGTCCCGGCCCTGAGCCTTCTGGCCTTGGGCCTTGCAACAACTGGGCCCGTGGTGGAGTGGGTCAGTTCCCCAGAGATCCCAATACCCCTTAATTAAAGGAATATATATATATATATATATATCTATATATATATATATATACACACCTTAAATCATAATATTAGGGCCCCTATAATAATTTAAGGGTATATTCCTTAATTAAGGGGTAATGGCTTCTCTAAGTCTGACAACGAAGAGCTTGTGGCTAGCACAGGCAGAGGCCTTTAGAGCGCCAGAGCTTTGGGATCGCAAAGGCCCGACAGGGTTCGGGACTTAAAGGGCGCATGAGGCTCTAAACCCTAAACCCTAAACCCTAAACCCTAAACCCTAAACCCTAAACCCGGGTCATGGAGGAATGACATCTGCACTGCGCATGCTGAACCTGGGGCCTTCTGGCCTTTCTGAGCTGATAGGTTCACCTAGACCCCCCAACTACCCTCTATTATCCCCCCCCAAATACCCACTATTAAGGACCATAAGAGCTCTATTGAAGGGCCATTGCAGGGTCCTGGCACGAGAACTTTGAACTTTGGACTTCGCTTACTTTGGATGCCAGCTGTTTCTACGGCGAGATGGATGCAAGCGTTTAGTGGCACTTCGAGCTGATCGCGTTGTGAGCTGCCGGCCTCAACATGCAATGGAATGGGTTACCGCTGGCGGAAGAATGACACCCCCTCCGAATCTTGATACGGACTGCGACGACACATGAAGGTTCGTGGCAAGGCCTTGTCCGGAAGGTTTGCCTACGTGCTGAACCTTCCATGCTGGAGGATTTGGCGCTTGCTGAAGTGCCTCTGAGCGGCAATGGTGGTGGTGGACGTGGTGGTGGTCGTGGAGGTTGTGGTTGTGCTGGTGGAGGTGATGGTGGTGGTGCTCGTGGTGGTAGTGGTTGTGGAAGTGATGGTGGTGGTACTCGTCGTCGTAGAGGTGGTAGTGATTGTTGTAGTTGACGTGCTGGTAGTTGTTGTGGTGGTGCTTGTGGTTGTTGTGCTCGTAGTGGTGCTGGTAGTGGTGGTGCTGGTCACCGTGCTCGTCGAGGTTGTCGTGGTGGTGGTGGAAGTAGTGGTGGTGCTGGTGACCGTTGAGGTGCTGGTCGTGGTCGTGGTGGTGATTGTGGAAGTGGTTGTGCTGGTGGTCGTCGTGGATGTCGACCTCAGCACAACGACAAGGCGTCTCAGGGCGGATTGAAACACTATAAATGCGGCTGTGTCTGTATACTTGAGTATACTTGTGAATGGGCTGCGTGGGAAGTCGATCGTCAATTCTTCAGACCTCTCTATTGTCAGTGGATCTGCAATGCATGGGTCAAAGCTATACGGATTCGGGCACTTTCCGTGCGGGCGAAGCCCGATCGGTTCTGAGCCCCAGAGGGCCCAACCTGCATACCCAAACCCTCGACGATGACTACAGGAGGCTGTTGTCCCTGCATGACCATAGCATAGCAAGCCCACGTGTCGGCAACTGGGCTTCGAGCACCGAACACAGCTATGAACTTTCAGTCTCTGGCTCAGTATTTGGGTAGTTCTCTAAGTGAGGGTCTCTTCTTCAAATGAGGCGTGCCGTACTATATTGGGGCTCAGAAGAAGGGCCTTAATTTAGAGAACTACCAAGAGGGTCCATATATACTACCGTTATGGAATTAGGTCCCCAAAACCATATTAGGCATGGTCTTTTGGGACCTAATTCCATAATGGTAGTGTATATGGACCCTCTGGGCTACCGATTTTGGGCCTCGGGGGGCGAAACCGAAATCCTAACAAAACCGCTCTCCGGGCGACGTGGAGGTCGAGGTCGTCGTTGAGGTGCTGGTGGTTGTGGTCGACGTTGTGGTGGTGGTCTGCCTAGACGTTTAGGGTTTAGGCCTTAGGTGCGGCTTAGTAGGGTTTAGGGTTTAGGGCTTTAGGGTGTAGGGGTTTGGGTTTAAGGCTTCGCGGGTTTAGGGTTTAGGGCGGTCTTTCGGCTTCTGGGCATCCTTGGAGTCTTCAATTATTGGGATCAGAAATGCCATTACTTCAGCAGAAGCCTCTTCGGGTTGGGTGACACTTCATCTCGGACTCGGATGAACAAACAAAGGATCAACTCCATACCAATATAAACTCCAAGCACCAAGATCCAACCGACAAACCCCAAGCACCAAAATCCTCAAATCCCCAAGACCCCGAACCCCTAACGCCCGAAACACCCCCTTTTCAGGCTGTTTTGGAGCCCCTGCTCGCCGCAAACACCTAAACCCTTAACCCTAAACCCTAAACTCTGCAGAACTCACCGGAGGATCGGATGGTAGAACCCAGCAGCTGCTGGTGGGCACACTCTCCAAACCCACAGCTATGAATGGCGTTACGATAAGGGATACGGTTTCGGGTTTAGGGTTTAGGGTTTAGGGTTTAGGGTTTAGGGTACAAGGGTTACCTATAGTCTCCATTGTAGTTCCTTTTTTTGGTTTAACCAAATATATATTAACGAGATTATAAGGTATTCCCAAAAAGGAACTACAGTGGAGACTATAGGTACTATACAGGTTTAGGGATTAGGGTTCATGGGTAGTGAAAAAATGGGGTTATAAGTAGGGTAACTATACTTATAACCCATACTAGGGGACTTATCGCCCCACTTATAGCTACCTATGAACCTCCACGCAAACCCACAGCTATGCTATGCTGAGACTTTAAAGGGGGTCTTCAGGCCTTTGAGTTTGAGGCTTCGGGATGTCTGCAGGCTTCAGGCAAAGTTCTGGGACTTTATGAGTAGATCCTAAGCACGTCAAAGTCAGCAAAGTCCGAAGTTAAACTATCCACCTACAGATTAAGCCCAGATGCGCGCACCCTGTCAGGATATACTCAGCCCCATCCTCAGTGGCACAGGCTTTGCAGTCTTCGGGTGTTGCGGGGCTGCTGGGGCTCAGCTTCACTGCACCTCACTCAAGCGACAGACAGAGTTCGCTTGGGAACCGCGGAACCCACGAGCAAGCATTGCTTGTCAAGAGGCATCCCACATAGCTATACATACTATGATACCTCCGGGATACGATGTATATCTACACGTGCATTTACATATATCTATATATATATATATATACACATGTATGTATGTATATATATATATATATATATATGTGTATGTATGTACATATATCTATGTGTATGTATATATATATATATATACATACATATGTATATATACATATAGATAATGTTCACATATGCGTATAATGTTCATATATGTATATATGTCTGCATACTTACAATCCACCTCTACGTGCATATGATTACCTGCTCATGTCCGCCGGTAAGAACTGCATGGGCTGTCATACAGGAAGTTTTTCAAGTCTTCAGGAAACCCTAAACACTAAACCCCAAAACCCTAAACCCCAAAACCCAAAACCCTAATCCCCGAAAAACCCTAAACTCAGGTCTTCTCAAGAAGCTGGCTGGGGCTTTTAACATGACGACGCTAGAGTCTAAGCCCTGTGAGCCTGACATGCTCAACGCAAGCTTAAGATCACCTAAATGCCCCGAAACCCTAAAACCCTAAAACCCTAAAGACCTAGAAACCCTGAGGGTTTAGGGTTTGGGGCTTGGGGTTTGGAACATACACCCGAAATCCTGAAACCTGAACCACAGACCATGAAGCCTCAGCTGGAGCCTGCGGACTAATGGACCATCTGCAGGGCTCTTGCACGGGCTCATGGCTG